TCTTGCAGAGGACCTGGATTCAGATCCCAGCACCCATGCCGGGCAGACCACAAACACTGATAGCTCCAGCTTCATGGGGTCTAAAGCCTCTGACTTCTGAAGGCACCTGCACACACACACACACACACACACACACACGTAAAAATAAAATTTAAAAATCTTTTAAAAGATAATAAATCAAAGTCAGTGTGAAAACTCAGGGACATGCCACCCGGCCTGACACTAAGTTCAACTCCGGGAAGCCACAGTGAGAAGAGAGCAGACTCCCGGGAGCCGGTCCTCTGATCCTCACAGCCAGTGCAGCATGCTGTGCACTCGCAACACAGCAATGAAGTAAAAAATAAACAAAATTACTGCAAAACTGGGGCAACTGAGAACAGCGAACGGTGGTAAGGATTTCTCCCTCCCTCCCTTCCTCCCGTTCTGCTTAAAGGTGAGAAACAAATTTGAGTGAAACAAATGTGTGTGCATGTTTGCATGTATGTGCACATGTACATGTGCAGGTGTGGGGTGTGTATTTGTGTTGTAAGCATTTGTGTATGTGTGTGTGATGTGTGTGCATATGTGTATGGTGTACATATGTGTGTATATGTGTGTGTGTATGTGTGTGTGGCATGTGTATATGTGTGTGTGGTGCATGTTACGTGTGGTGCACATATGGTTTATTGTATATGGAGTGTGTATGCAGTTCGGAGGACAACCTTGAGTGTCCTTCCTGCCATCAGCTTTTCTGAACAGGAGAGCAGGTCTCATTGCCTGGAGCAGGGTAGCCTAGTTGGCCAGTGAGCCCCAAGGACCCTTTCTCCATCACATGTTCTGTCTTTTGTTGGTTTATGTGGGTCCTGGGGGTTCAAGTCAGGTCCTTGTGTTTGCAAGGCAAGCAGCTGGCAGACTGAGCTATCTTATCTCCCAAGCCTGGGAAACTAATTCCTTTAGCTCAAACCTCATCAGCCCGAAGGAGTGTGCAGACAAACTCAACTTTGTTCCTTTCTGCCATGTGTTCCTTGTGCTGGTTCCCCTCTGGATGCCTTCGCTGCCCCTTTCAGTTCTCACTACCTCCCTACTCTTCAGTTTCTGCCTGTGGCAGATGCTGGTCAGTGGAACTGGAAGCCCAAGTTTCTCCCATGACTTATTGCTTTTTATAGTTTTTGAGATAAGTTTTCATCTATTTATTCTGAGGATCTCACTATGTAGCTCTGGCTGGTTTTCCTACAAAACTCAGCAAGGCTGAAGGAGAACATCCTGTGCCTCTAGCATGGAGTCTCCAAACCACTTCCTGAGTCTGTGGGTCCTATGTCCTTTCCATGCAGGCCAGATTTGGGGGCAGAGATGAACAGGATGGACCACACAGGGAAGTTCCAGCCTATGACATACCCAGGACTCTAGCCAGCCCCCCCCCACTACCACTCCTGCTGTGTCCCTCAAGGGAGACTCTCAGCAGGTCAGAGCCACAAGGAAAGCGGAGGTGCAGAACCATCCACCCAGCACTTGGAAGAACCAAATTTACCCCAATCGGAAGAACCCCAACAGCCAAGGCTTTTGCTTAAGAAGCACTTCCTCTCCCATGAGCCCTCAGCTATGTGGGGCTGGGAGCAAGTGCGGGAGGTGGTGCCAGAGCTGGGCTCTCATCCCTGGCTCACAGCTGGAGGAACATCTGCCCTGCACGAGCCGCTTACAAAGAGCTTTCCTAGACAATCTCATTTCATCTCCCATGCAACCCTGGGAAGAAGTTAAGGAAGAGGGGAGGGAGGGAGGCTTGTAGCCATTATGCAGATGGGATATGGTGTCTGCCAGACATTCCTTCCTTCATTAGGTAGAAGCATTGCAGACTTTGGGAAGCAGGTGCTATAGTTTAAATAGGTGACCCCAAAGGTCAATGTATTAAAGATTTGGTTATTAGACTATGGAGTACTGTTAGAATAGTGGTTCTCAACCTGTGGGTATGCTATTTACATTGCATAATGATTTATAACTAGCAAAATTATGAAATTGCAATAAAAATAATTTTATGGTGGGGATCACCACAGCATGAGGAACTATATTAAAGGGTCTTAGCATTAGGAAGGTTGAGAACCATTGCCTTATCGAGTTCCATGCGATTGCCTGAAATCACAGTCTTTTGGTTCTACAAGCCCAGACTTTGATCCGGCTCTGGCATCACCCCAGGGCCTCCTCTTGTGGGTCCCAGAAGCATATCCTTGACATGTCAATGGGCCAAGCTCTCTCTGTCCATCCCCAACCTCCAGACCGTGTGTCCATCCACACCTGTTCCTAGGGCAATTTAAAGACATATACAGCTTTGGTTTATGTAAAATTCACCTGTACATACTGAATGTTCTGGGGGTTTTACTATATTTAGCATTGAGTAATTGTCACCACTGTCCAAGTCCAGAACATTGTCATTGAGCCAAAAAAAAAAAAAAGTCCCCATTAGCAATGACTCCACATCACCAGGGTACCAGCGGTTCCCCTTTCTGATGTGTCATATGCAAGGACCCAGATAGTATTCATCTTTTGTCTTTCTGGCACCTTTCATTTAGCATAGTATTTTCCCACAATCTATACACGTTTGGGTATGCTTCAATACACTCTAACTGTGACTGAAAATGACTCCATTGTATAGGGCTGGAGATGCAGATCACTTGGTAAAGTGTTTGCCATGCATAAAGCTAGCCTGAACTCAATCCCCAGCACCATATAAACCAGGCATGATGGCTCCTGCCTGTAACCCTAGCATTCTGCAGGTGGAGGTGGAAGGTTCAGATGTTCAAGGTCATCCTCCACTCCATAGAGAATACAAGGGCGCCTGGGCTAGGTGAGAGTTAGCTTCAAAAAAAGAAAGAAAGAAAGAAAGAAAGAAAGAAAGAAAGAAAGAAAGAAAGAAGCCACATAACATAAAGCCAGGCAGTGGTGGTGCACATCTTTAATCCCAGCACTTAGGAGGTAGAGGCAGGCAGGTCTCTTTGAGTTGAAGGCCAACCTGGTCTACAGAGTGAGTTCGGGACAGCCAGGGCTACCCAGATAAATTACTGAGTGGTGTGTGCCTACAATCCCAGGTGCTTGACAAAAGGAAAGGAGAAAGAAAAAGGAGGGGGATAGGGAAGAGAAACGGCCAGACACAGAGCTTGTTGGTAGAGTCTTTGCCTGGGGTGTGTGAGGCCCTGGGTTTTTAATCAATGAAATTAAACAATGAAAAGAGGGGCAGGAGGCAAAACCCTCCCCCGGGGACCCAGCCCTGACAGCCCCTCTTGCAGAACAGGGAGATGTTTTCAAGGGTGGCCCTGCCTAGCTCAGAAGGACTGAAGAACCACTTGCTGAGCCACTGTGAACAATAACAAGCCCTTCCCAACCTTGACCGCCTGGCCAGAGTCCACACACCTCTCAGGCTTGGCCTGTCTCAGTCTCAGAACTTCCTCTAAGCTGTGTTCAGAGTTCCCTCTTTGCGGAGGCCACCTACTCCCAGACATCTTGTCTCCAAGCACGCAAGGCCTCTCTCTGACAGTCTTTGGGACTCTCCTTGTATTTCCCATCAACTGTAGTCCTACACTGCTGAAGGTGTTGGTCCTATCAACTCAAAAGTTCCAGAAGTGAGGCTGGCTGGCTGCTCCCAGGATCAGAGGGTTCAGAGCTGATCCTCAACCAACACCACCCTCTGATGCCCCCATCTGTTGCTGCCCATACCTTCTACAGAGGGCACGGATGTTCTTGCCTGCCTCCTGAGGGCTCTGCCCAATGCTATGTAAGCACCCAGACACTGCCGGGTCACTGTTGATGACTGTTAGCCTCAACCAGGACTAGATTGACACCAGCGGACACAGCCTAGATCCAAGTGTTCCTCTTCCCTGCCTAGGTGGATGTTCCCAATCATGAATAGACTGCTTGGGGGCCCTTGTCTGAGTTAAAGTCACCCAAATCGGGAGTTCTTAGGGCAGGTGGGGTCTGTTATGTGGTCCCAGTGTGGAACTAGATACCAGGGTGGTTTCATGTCACCCAGCCTGGTCTAGAACTCACTACGTAGCCAAGGATGACCTTGAACTTTGGATTCTTCCACCTCCATTCCTGGGTGTTTTACAGGTGTACAGCACTATGCCTGGTTTATTCGGTACTTGGAATTGAGGCCAGGGTCTTTCTACATGCTAGACAATCACTCTACTGAGTGACCTAAAGGTCCAGCCTTTCTCTTTCCCCCTCCCCTGGCCTTGATGCTTGCAAGCGAGTCAGTGAATGGATGATAGAGTCACCAGCTCAGATGGCAGATATGGCATGGGATCTGGTTCCCTAGGACAAAGGCTGGTACAGAGGGCAGGTGAATAAATCATGAGGGGCCTGCAGCAGGCCATCAGGCCACAGCTGACCTCATTCTGGAAGTGAGGCGTAGGCAGCTGCGTGGTGAGTGGCTCGGGTGTGGCAAGGGGGAAGGGGTTGGTGGCACCTCCACCCTTGTTCCTTGAGAAGAACTTGAAGGTTACTGAAGAGGTTTGCACAGGAGGTGGGGAGACAGAGGCTGATACAGAGGTGTCCTGGGGCTCCAGGTGGGGGAGGGCGAAGCAGGTGGCATGCTTTTCCAGAATCTTGGAGTAAAAGAGTAGGGAGGGCAGACAGACAAAGCAAGATGAGAAAGAGCCTCTGAACATCAATGAAAGGGACTGAGGGGAGCAGACAGGGGCTGAGGAGAGCGGATGAGGGGCTGAGGGGAGCAGACAGGGGCTGAGAAGAGCAGATGGGGGCTGAGGGGAGCAGGCAAGGGTTGATGAGAGTGAATGGGAGGCTGAGGGGAGCAGACAGGGGCTGAGGAGGGCAGATGTGGGGCTGGCACAGAGAGAGGGCCTGAGAGTCATGGGAACACTGCTAGACCAAACAGAGCAGATGGAGAATGAGCAGGATATGGAGCATGCTCAGACCACCAGCCAGAGATGTGCCAGCAGGACATGGGGGCTGAAGAAGGCCCATCAACTTGGGAACCTAGCCACCTAGGTCAGCGAGGAGATCTAGGGTACAGTCTGTGAAGGCCGGGAAGTGGTATAGGAGGAAGATTCAGAGATGGGCTATGTGAGCAGCAATGGAAGAAGATAGTGACTTTAGGGGAGTCGGGCTCTACTAATCCCCAGAGCCAAAAGGGAAACCGTATCCACACCTCCCTCTGAGCTTCCTTCCTGCAGGTCAACCAGCCCCAGCAGGAACAGAAAAGGTGCTACACCCAGGGCCATGGCCCTGCCTGAGGGCCTGGCAAATGGCAGCCTCCCTGAAGGGGACTCCAGCCCATCCACAGACACTCCAGGACCCAGCCAGGACCTAGCCAGCCCCACTGCCCGCAGGCGGGCCCTCCTCCGTGAGCTGGAGGCCCAGGTGCAGGCTGCCTATGGGCAGGTAAGGGGCAGGAACCGTCCTTTAGGGGAGCCCACATCCCAGCTGGATATAAGACAGACCCAGGGCCAAGTACACACACAGGTGACCAGAGGGTTGAGAAGAAGCTAGGGGACCCATCTCTGTGGATACTAAGGGATCCAGTACCCAGAGTGATCCTTTATGTAAGGTATCGAGCACTGGTCCAATTACAGGGTGAAAGAGCCCTGAATGGAGACAGGTTCCTGGCCACAGACTTCAGACCGGTCAAAGGTAAAAGCAGGTAGGCTCTCTCTCCGAGGACTTCATCTTCCAGTCCCCAGTGGTCACTCTGGGAGAGTTGGGCTCCAGCTGACCCAGGCATGGGGTGCCAGCTCCTTCCGTGGGGATCCAAGCCTGCTTCTGAAGGTGCTGATTGGGGAGATTAGTGCAAGGCTAAGAGGAGAAGGGCTAGAGGGGCGGTGTTCAGAAGACCCTCCTGAGGAAGTTCCGGGAGGCTGTGCCTTCCAGGGGGCCTTGACTCTGAGTACCCCCCTACTTGCAGAGATTCTCTGAGATAATCCCGGATTGGATTAGGGCCCAAGCCCCAGGCCCAGGGCCCCCCGCCTGCCCACCCGCCCCGATCTTGCCCACAAAACCCCAGGAAAATCCTCTCCAGTGCTCCCAGGCTGTCCCTGGAAAGAGCAGGAGGCTGGCAGAATCCACAGCATCCTCCCAGGACTCAGGACCTGGCATGGTTCAGGGACCCATGGGGAACTGTGCCAAGCGGCCCTGGCGCCGGGGGCCTAAGGTAGGAAGATGAAGGGGAGACCTAAGGCCAGAAACCTGGGTGGTCCCATGTGTTGCACAGGCAGTAGCCAGAGACCTAGGAGTACTGGACTGGATTAGAGAGGGCCGTGGGTTCCAGGGGAGACAGAGGGGACATTTCTATGCTTTTCTTCAAGGAGATGTTTTCCTGGACAAACAGCCCCTCTGATTTTGGCTGGGACTCCCCTGCTAAATTGATAGTTCAGCTGCCCATTCTGGGCAGGCCCTACTCTCTCAGCCTTGGCCAGGGTGACCAGAGTTAGAGGCCATAGGCCACAGGTTTCCTCAAGGACCTGGGAGAGGCCCTCACCTCTTAGGGGTGAACCTTTCCAGCCTAGAGAGTTAATGGGGCTTGTGTTCTCAGAGGCCCCGCCCCCTCTGCCAGGAGCTGGGTTCCAGAGAAAGGAGCTGGAGAGGGGTTGGGGTGGGGGGGCAGGAGACGGGCATTGCTTCAGCTTATGGCTGAATTTGCCACAGGAACACTGGCAGTGGCCTGGAGTCCCCCTAGGGAGCCCCAATCCCGGCCCTAGCCCCAGAGCTGAGGAGCAGGAGGGCACCCAGGGCTACACGGTGCTTGGCAGCCTGGTGGGGCCAGCCTGCATCTTTCTTCGACCCAGCATCGCCGCCACCCAGCTCGTATGTACAGTCACTTCTCTGCCAGCCTGCTGCCCCGGTCCCTTCGCCTCATCGCTCCCTAAATAGGAGGGAGAGGCCTAGAGGACATCGGAGGAAAGACACGCAACCCCGGGGTTGGGGGCAGAGCCGTAGCTCCAGAACAAGTTAAGAGTTCAGGGAGCCCCTAGAGCCATGCCAGGCATGGGGGGGTGGGTAGGGACCCAGAGAAACATCCACCCAAGGGTTGAGAGTGCAGTCCAGGGATAGAGCACTTGCTTTTTAGCAAGACCAGGGTTACGTCTTCAGTGCTACAAAAATAGAAAAGTAAGTACTTCCAAGGGAAGATGGCTGAAGGTGGCAGGGTTCTCAGGAGAGGGACAGTGGGCAAAGCAGACCTGCAGTGACACTGAGGACAGCTGGGTTGCATATGAGGTTCTGCCTGACCCTGGGATCTACCTCTGTCAAAAGGAGCTATGTACCTCAGAAGACAGTGTGGGAACAGGGGTCCTGAGGGTCCCCTGGCAGGTTACAGGAAAAGAGAACCCCAAGACACTCAGGCAGGTGAGCAGGAATGGGCAGAATAAGTCACAGGCCCTGGGTATGCTGTTGTGTGGGCTGGATGATGAACCCCAAGCAACAGAAGGAAGGTGCTGAGGCCTGGGTGTGCCAAGGAATCCCTAAGCCATCTGTGCCTGCAGGACCGGGAGCTGAGACCAGAGGAGATAGAAGGTAAAGAGTTCAAGGAGGGGCTAGTTGAGGTGGGGCATGGATGGATATTAGAAGAGGAGGTTTGGGGCTGGGGTCTCTGCAGGGTCCAGGAAGGGTAAGAAGGTTATGGGGTGAGACCGGGCAGGGAGGGATGGCAAACCCTCCCTTCTTCTGCTGCCAATCCCTTGGTCTCAGTGACCACACTGGTCAAGGGCCTCTTTCGTATTTGTCCATCTGCCTGGCAACTTTCTGGCTGCCCACTGTGGGCCTGGCCCCTCATTGAGAACCAGGAAACACTGCTAACCGACAGATAAGGTCCCTGCCTTCTGGAGATAGCTACAGTGGCGGCTGTGTAGGGTTGGAGAGGAAGAAACGAGCAGGGAAGCCTCCTTGGAGTCGGTGACACTGAACCTGGGGAGGGAAGAATGGAATCTGCCTGAGCTCACAGCTTTTCTAGCTTTCCTCACCCCCCTTCTCTTTTTAATCACCTAGAGCAGAAATTGACACAAAGTAGATGCTTCCCAAACATTCCATGAGAGAACAGAATTTTAAGATCATATGTGCAAAAGCCCTGAGACAGCAAACAGGAACTGAGGTTTAAGAGCAAAAAGAGACTGGAACAAAGGGGACAGATGGGCTGGTCCCAGCTGGCAGCCAGGGAGAGTTTGGGAAAGGACTAAGCTCACTCTGCCCGGCAGAGCTGCAGGTCGCCTTCCAGGAGTTTGACCGAGACCGGGATGGCTACATCGGCTACCGGGAGCTGGGTGCCTGCATGCGGACGCTGGGCTACATGCCCACGGAGATGGAGCTCATTGAAATATCACAGCAGATCAGTACGTGCCTCAGACCCACCCCACCCCTGTACTTCAGCCCCAGCCCAGACCTGAGGTTGCTGTACCAGAGCACAGGGCATAACTGTCATTAAAGGGAGAGCTGCCTCCTAAGAATCTACTAGGAGAGTGGAGAAGATGACATGACTCCCCCCTTCTCCCTCCCCCGCCCCCGTTTACCAATAGCTACTGAAGCTCAGAGAGGTGAAGTATTTGCCTAGAGCAGGCTCAGGAAAGAACAGTGAGTCTTAAGAGCCTGCCTGAGGACGATTCTCACCAATAGCTATAGATGATGCAGCCTCTGGTACCCAGGGATGAGAGCCCATCCAGTGCCAAGAAGGATGGGACCAGGGGCCAGAGGGAAGGCGGTGGGCTGGAGAAGGCAGGTCAGGGGCTAGGCCGGGGTCTTTCATGGATGAATGCACCCTCAGGTGGTGGGAAGGTGGATTTTGAAGATTTTGTAGAGCTGATGGGTCCCAAGCTGTTGGCAGAGACTGCGGATATGATTGGCGTGAGGGAGCTTCGAGACGCCTTCCGGGAGGTGCGCCGGGGTGGGAGGGGTGGAGGGTGGGTGAGACTGTGAGGTTGCAGGAGTTAAGGGCTGAGTGGATGTGGGTCTCAGTCAGTGATCCCATGCCACCATCAATGCTGCCGCAGTTTGACACTAATGGAGACGGCTGCATCAGCGTGGGGGAGCTCCGGGCAGCCCTCAAGGCTCTGCTGGGGGAGCGCCTCAGCCAGAGGGAGGTAGATGAGATACTCCAAGACATCGATCTCAATGGAGATGGCTTGGTTGACTTTGAAGGTAACACCTCCCCTTTTTAGCTAAATATGGCCTGAAGATTCTAAACCAGCAGTTCTTGACTTGTGGGCCTTGACACCTTTGGGGTTGCATATCAGATATTTATATTAGGATTTATAACAATAACAAATTGTAGTTATGAAGTAACAATGGAAATAATTTTATGGTCGGGGGTCACCACAGTGTGAGGAATTGTATTAAAGGGTCACAGTGTCAGGAAGGTTGAGAAACTCTGATCTAAACAGACCTGGGTTAAACATTATTGGAGGATCAAGGAGGCAGGGCTATTATACTCCCTACTGGCGAGAGAAGGAATCTGTGTCAATTCTCAGGATAGCTAAAGTGCTTACTTAGGATAACGAAATAGGAAAAGCCAAGATCGTAATCTGGGCAGCTGAGGCCCCTCCTCCTGGTTCTCAGATGCCTTTGAAGGTCTCCTCAAGCCCAGTCTAGCCCACTCTTGGACAGGCAGATCTGCCATCCCTAATGGGGTCAGGAGAGCAGACCTGAAACCTTGCCTTTGTCCTGGCAGAATTTGTTCGGATGATGTCTCGATGAGCCTGTATAGAAGCTGGAGTGGACCAGCCTGGAGGACCACAGCCTCTGAGCCACAGAGGATCCCATGTATTCCTGGAAACTCATTACGAATCAGACTGTGTGCCTCCTCCCACCCCTGCCTGGGCACAGTGCCCTCTCCTGTCACCACCCTTAGCTCTCCCTGGTTCTCTGACAATAAAGCATTTTCCAGCTTGTGGAGAAAGAGTTTTCCCTACTCGCTCATCCTGAAGGTCTGGCAGGTGACCCCAAAAGTCAACCCCTGGAGCTGGCCTTCTAACCATGGGTCACCTCAATTGTGAGTTCAGGGGGGTATGGAGATCCTCTCTTCTTCCTCTCTGGATCCTGGATCCAGTCCAAAGCAAGTAATAAAAGGTATCTGTGAGCTAGGCATGGTGGTGCACGCCTTTAATCCTAGCTCTCAGGAGACAGAGGCTACCTTGTCTCAAAAGCAAAAACAAAAGCCAAAACAGATATCTTTGAACTGGTAAACACGTGCGCTCACACACACACACACACACACACACACACACACACACACACACACATCAGTGCTTCTGAGTTCTGTGCTTGAAGCACCCAGGACAGAGCCCTTCTCCCAGCTCTGTCATATATCTCTTACTGCCACAGCCTGGGAGGGCGCTGCTCAGAGCTTCCAGGAGGATGGTAGCTAGCAGAAGCCCCCACCGGCACCTCTGTCTGATAGCTAGGATTTCTCTTTTTGTTTGTTTGATCGCTTTTGTTTTCCAAGACAGGGTTTCTCTGTATTACAGCCCTGGCTGTCCTGGAACTAGCTCTTGAAGACCAGGCTGGCCTCGAACTCACAGAGATCCACCTGCTTCTGCCTCCGGAGTGCTGGGATTAAAGGTATGTGCCACCATCGCCTGGCTGGGTTGAGGGTCTTTTAGGTCAGCATTGAGCATAGGGCCTGCCTAGCAGGAATCAGGACCGTCCTGCTCTAACTACCTGCCTGTCCTTTCCTTTACTAGTATCCATAACCTAAATCTTCACTCTACTAGACACCCAGATCTCCGCACAAAGAGCCTTCACAGCCCTTGTCCTAGCCCTTGGATGCTGGGAAGCTGTAGGTCTCCATCCAATGCCGTTTTTGGTTTTTGGGTGTTTTTGTTGTTGTTTGATTGGTTGGGTTTTTTTGTTTGTTTGTTTTTTGTTTTGTTTTGTTTTCCAAGACAGGGTTTCTCTGTGTAGCTCTGACTGTCCTGGAACTCACTTTGTAGACCAGGCTGGCCTTGAACTCAGAGATCTGGCTGCCTCTGCCTCCCGAGTGCTGGAGTTAAAGGTGTGTACCACCACAACCCGGTTTGTGAAGACATTTTAATTTAACACTCTCAAGCCAAGAAACTCAGAAGCCCAAGATCAAGATTCAGGCAGAAGCAGGATGCAGTGACACACACCTGTAACCAGTACTTGGGAGGCTGAGGTAGGAAGGTCAAGAGTCTGAGGCTATCCTTAGCTATATAGTGAGACCCTGACTCAAAAAAAGCGGAAGAAGAGCGGTGGGTATGGGAGTGCACACCATTAATCCCAGCCAGCCTACCAAAACAGGGGCTCCAGATTCAGTGAGAGAGCCAGGCATGGTGGCACATGCCTTTAATCCCAGCACTTAGGAGACTGGGGCAGGAAAATCTCTGTGAGTTTGAGGCCAGCCTGGTTTACATAGGGAGTTCTAAGGCAGGACTACATAGAGTCTCTAATGATAATAATAATAATGAGGAGGAGGAGTGTGATTGGAGAAGACATTAGCTGCCAACCTCTGACTCACACACACAATAAATAAAATAAAGTACCAAGGCGTTGGGAGCACACTGGTCCTCGCAAGGTGGTCTCAGTGGAGCATGCAGGCACCCCAGTTCCCCGAGCAGCAGCCTGGAATCTGCACTCTGAGGTGCCAGGGCTGGCTTCAGCAGCCTCAGCACCACCCATCTTGCAGATCCCAATTAATCCTTAATCTTCAATTAAGTGATCCCTACTGCCAAGCCTGTAGCCCCAGTCCCGTGGCTTTTCCAGAAGCTGACACAGATGGCATCACCCCTGAGAAGATGTCTCTGCAGGAACTGAGGGTGGCAACCACCACAATCGAGGGGAAAGCAGGCAGGGTCCGCTGCCCACTGTCTCCCAAGCCCCACCAAGCCTCTGTGGGTGGATGATGAAGGTCACCAGAAAAGGTCTTAGTCACAGCGTGTCTCCTAACACTGAAAGTGTTCATGGATCCCCCAGAGGTCATATGTGCCCCCCCACCACAAAAAGGCCTCTAGTCCAGATGTCCCAAAAGATCCCAGTTGGAGTGGGTCAGGAGGGGAGCCAACGGTAGGTCTACGCCATGAGGGTGGCCTGTGTGTGAGTCTGGGTTTCCCAGTTGCTAATTTATGCTTCCCTGGGAGCATGCTCACTGCCTTGGCCCTTGGCCTTCCAGGTCAGCAGTGGTCCACTCCCAAGTGGCCCTCCTTCTGTGTCTGTGAAACAACTAGATTCTCGGCTTGCTGACTTCCCAGATGAACTCTGGGTTTTTGTTCGTTTGGTTGGTTTTTTTGTTTGTTTGTTTGTTTTGTTTTGTTTTGTTTTGTTTTTTGAGAGGTAGGGAGGGTTGAGGTTTCTCTGTGTAGCCCTGGATGTTCTGGAACTCACTCTGTAAACCAGGCTGGCCTTGAACTCAGATGTCCACCTGCCTCTGCTGGGATTAAAGAATTGCACCACCACTGCCCTGCTAGATGAATTTTTAAAATGTATGCACACTGAAGTCTGCTCATTGACAAATATTCAGTGTCTTCTAGTCACCCTGGTAGAATCATATGAAACAGTTCACTCTCCTAAAAACACTGCCTAGACTCGCTGACCCTGCCCCACCCCAGACCCTTCCTCAAGCCCGACAGCTAGTCTCCGGTCAGTCTTTGGGTAATTTCCCTTTTCTAGCATGCTGTTTAATCAGAATGATCCTTGCTGTATCTTTTTCAGGCATTTCTTTCACTTAGCACCATGCACTTAAGATTTATCTATGCCATTGTATGGGGCTGGAGAGAGATGGCTCAGCAGTTAAGAGCTCTCACTGGCTGGTCCTCTAGACAACCCAGGCTCAATCCACAGCCCTATATGGAGGCTCACAGTGATCTGTAACTCCAGTCTCATTCCTGTTCTTGCCCTCAGAGGGCATCAGGCATGCATATGGTGCACAGACATACATGAAGGCAAAACTCCAGTAAATATAATTAATTAAAATGAAAAAGATTTATCTATATAATTTTATGCTAGATATATGATTTCTATTTGTTGCTGAATAATATTCCATTGTATGAATATACCACATTTAATTCATCTAGTTACTTTTTTTTTTGAAACAGAGTCTGTCTGTGTACCTCTGGCTGGTGTGGGAGGTCCTTCTATCTATGTGTTGTTTTTATGGGTTAGTGAATAAGGAACTGTTTTGAGCCTATGGCAGGGAAGAACAGACCTAGGCAGGGAAAACTAAGCTGAATGCTGGGAGGAAGAATGGCAGAGGCAGAGAGACACCATGGAGCTGCCAGAGACACATGTAGTTTGGAACTTTAGCCAGTAAGCCACAGCTTCATGGTGATACACAGGTTAATAGAAATGGGTTAAATTAATATGTAAGAGTTAACCAAGGGGGCTGGAGAAATGGCTTTGTGGTTAAGAGTACTGACTGCTCTTCCAGAAGACCCGGGTTCAATTCCCAGCACCCACATGGCAGCTCACAACTGTCTGAAGATCCAGTTGCAGGGGATCTGACACCTTCACACCAATGCACATAAAATAAAGTTAAATAAACCATAAAAAATATTTAAAAAAAAAGAGTTAACCAATAAGAAGCTAGAGCTAATGGGCCAAGCAGCGATTTAATTAATACAGTTTCTGTGTGATTATTTCAGGTCTAAGCTAGCCAGGTGGCTGGGAACCAACAAGCATCCCCTCTACAACATCTGGTTGTCCTAGAACTTTCTATGTAGTCCAAACTGGGCTCAAACTCAGAGTTCTGCCTGCCTCTGCCTCCCGAGTGCTGGAATTAATGGTGTGCACTACTAAACCCAGCTGTTCCTAGTCACCTGGTGAAGGGTGTTTTAGTTTGTAAATTATTCTTGAGACAGAGTCTGGCTATGTAGCCCAGCTTGGCCTCAGACTCGCAGCAATGATCCTCAGTCTCCTGCCGAGCCCTGGGATTACAGGAATGTACCACACACCACCTCTAAAGTCTGAACCTGGCTGTCTCCCCCAAGGGCCAGGTGTTTGTTGAAGGTTCAGTTCCCCAAGCTCACGGCGCTGTTCACCAGGAGTGCCGGAAGCTCTAGGATGTGTCGCCACCTAAGGTGAGGTCACTGGGCACTAGTCCTCTTTTTTTTTAAATATAATTTCCTTGTTGATTTTTTGGGAATGTCACATCATGCATCCTAATAATCCCCTCAAGTCCTCCCCTAACTCCCCAAATAAAAATTTAAAAGCATTAAACAAAAACCAAACAAAGCAACCTAGCAAACAAACAAACAAACAGAAACAAAACAAAACAAAAATTTCTTCGCTCCTCCATCTTTCCTGCCTCTCCAACACCTCTTCATTCGTCCTGGTGGCACTGGGAGCAATGCGTCATCCTTTAGTCCAGTCTGCTCTACTAGCAAATGTTCATTGCAGTGAGTCACTGGTCTGGTTCTAGGCCTCTGGTTTCTGGTTCACCATCATCACTGGATCCGCATCAGAATTCTTCTGGGATATTCCGAGGCTGCCCTAAGTCTAAGAGCCTTCCACAGCACCAGTCCCTTCACAAGCTCCTGCAGGTCCTAGATGGCCAACCCAGGGCCATTGCGGCCGCCGGCCTCAGGTGATGGAGCAGCGGGGGCAGTGACCCATGCCATCAGGATCAGTACCCCTCAGCCTGGTGAAGGGTGAGGCCATTTCTCCCAAGTGCGGGGGACAGCTCTCCTGTGACAGGGTCAGCTCTCTTCCTGTAGTGTCCAGCAAGAGGCAGGGAAGGGTGGGGCCAGCTCAGCAGGGCTCTCTGATTTCATCACACATGGTTCCTATGGCCCTCTGGGGTGACATGGGCCACAGACCCCAGCTGCAGATGGACCACACACCCAGACACGATCCTCGGCAGAAGCTTGGGCCTGGACGACACCATGGCCCTTGGTGGCAGTACAGGCCACCCAGATCAGCATGGCTCCAGTGGTGGCCCGTGGACACCTACATGACCACAAGTGAAAGCCCAGACTCGGGCCATAGCTGTGGCCTTTGGTGGCAACACGGGCCATGGGTGTCCACAAAGTCCCTGACTGTGGCAGGACCAGGGACCCAGACATGTGGGCACTGCTCCTGAGTCATTTGCCTTTTCGATTCTCACACCCAGGAAGTGAACAGGTGTCCTCTGACATAGGCCCCACCCAGGGTCAAACCACCAAGAACTGAAACCTGAAACCATGAAACACACGAAGCCTTCCTCCTATTGACCGTCAAAGCAGTGGAAAGCTGACTAACAAGGAACAGAAAGTACATTTGCCCGGCTGGGGTCACAAACTGCTGGAGACAGTCAGCTGCACCGGCTTTGGGGGCACAGGCATATTCAAGTCAGCTGGGTCAACACCCAGGAATACATTCTCTGGATCATGTAGTACGACTATAATTTTGGAGGAAGTTGCCGACGGACCTTCTGCAGGGGCTGGTGCTATCTGCCTGCCCACCAACTGTGCAGACAGCTGCTGCTGCCAACGGTAACAAGGGATGAGGGGCGATTCTCTAACAAGGGTGTAGTGGGGGCTCCTTGCTCATCCATTCATTTTTTCCACATTCTACTATAAAACGTTACATGGCTGGGCCGGGTTGGCGCACGCCTTTAATCCCAGCACTCAGGAGGCAGAGGCAGGTGGAATTCTGTGAGTCTGAGGCCAGCCTCGTCTACTTAGCAAGTTCCAGAACAGCCAGGGCTACACAGAGAAAACATATCTCAAAAAAAAAAACAAACAAACAAAAACCAAACAAACAAAACAAAAAATCCTTACAAACATAAGGTGGGTTGTGAACCTAGCCTTTAACATCCAAGTCAACTATCCATCCCTAAAACTTTATATGGAAATACAAACCAGCAAAATGGCTCAGTGGACGAAGGTACTTCCTGCCAAGCCTGACAAGCTGAGTTTGTTCTCTGGGACCCATCAGGTAGAAGGCGTGAACAGGTGCTGCACTTCAAGCTGTCTTCCAATCACACACGCCCCATGGCACGCGCGCCCACACACAGAGTAAATAAACAAAATGTAATTTTAAAAAATTTGATCCTAGCACTTGGGAGGCAGAGACAGGTGGGTCGCTGTGAGCTGTGAGTTCAAGGCCAGCCTGGTCTACAGAACGGGTTCTAGGACAGGCTCTAAAGCTACACACAGAAACCCTGTCTCAAAAAAAGAAAAAAGGAAATGAAAGCGACTGGAGAGATGACTCAGGGGTCAAGAGTGCCCACTGCTCCAGAGGACCTGAGTTCAATCCCCAGCACCATGTTAGATGACTCACAACTACCTGGAATTCCAACTCTAGGGGATGACAGCCTCTTCTGACCTTCTCAGTCACCTGCACTTACACACACACACACACACACACACACACACACGTGCACAATTCCAGGCCTAGGGAAGGGTGTCCTTGACAAACTGGCCAAGGGGCCTTTGCCATCTTCCCCACATGAGCAGAGTCTGCTCTTTGGGTAGGCCACTACTGTCTGTTCTAATGTCCCCCAGACACTGTGTTCCTCAGCAAGGACTCACTCAGTCAAACTGTCACTGCCCCAAACACAGATGTTAAAAGGACTGAATGTTTGTGTTCCCTGAAACTCATTGACTGAACCCTTAAGTCACCACTGAGGCCCCATTGTGACTGAACCTGGAGGTAGGTCTCTGAGGAAAGTCGTGAAAATTTAACGAGGTCAAAAGTCAGGGCTCTTATCTAGAAACACTGTGTGGGGTCAGGAAGAAAGCCCACACCAGGAGCCCATGAGTCTGGTACCCTGACCTCAGACTTTTAGCTCCTAAGCTGTGCAGAACTAATCTGTGACTTAAACCACTCAGTCCATGGTATTTCACTCTGTTTGGATATTAGTCAGCCCCAGCTGATGAACATATGGAGCAATGGAGAAGCAGGAAGGCTTAGGGTTTGAAAGGAGAGGGGACTGGGACATTCATTAAGGGATATTTCACAGTGGCTCCTCCTCACACCCCCATCCACCCACCGGAGTCTGTCCCACAGGGCAGTCTTGCTGTCACACTTACGGGGAGATCTTGGGTAACCTGATCAGTACTTTATTTTTTAGTTTTTGAGACAGGATTTAAGTAGTCCAGGCTGGCACTGAATTCATGATCCTCCAGCCTCAGTTGAGGTTACAAGCACTCACCACCATGCCCAGTCCTTATTTTAATTATGTATTAGAGAATTCTTTCTTTGTTTTTTTAAATATTTATTTATTTACACATGCACACACACCAGAAGAGGGCACTAGATCTCATAGCTACCATGTGGTTGCTGGGAACTGAACTCAGGACCTCTGGAAGAGCAGCCAGTGAGTGCTCTTAACCTCTGAGCCATCTCTCCAGCCCCCTCTTTCTTTGTCTGAGACAGGATTTCTCTGTAGAAGTCTGTTCTGAAACTTGCTCTTGTAGACCAGGCTGGCTTCAAACTCACAGAAATCCAACTGCCTCTGCCTCCTGAGTGCTGGGAATTCTGAAGAGACATTGATTAAATGCTATTATTATTATTATTATGCTTATTATGTTTATTTGTTTGTTTGTTTTGTTTTTTAGAGACAGGGCTTCTCTGTAGCTTTGGAGCCTGTCTTGGAACTAGCTCATATAGACCAGGTTGGCCTCAAATTCACAAAGATCTGCCTGCCTCCGTCTTTAGAGTGCTGGGATTAAAGGTGTGCACCACCACTGCCTGATCCCATTATTATTTTTAATTTGAAATTTTGGAATTGTTTGTTTGGTTTGGTTTGATTTTCTAGACAGGGTTTCTCTGTGTATCCTTGACTATCCTGGAACTAGCTCTGTAGATCAGAATGGCCTCAAACTCACAGAACTTCCACTGCCTCTGCCTCCTAAGTGCTGGAATTAAAAGCAATCACCACCACTGGTTTGTTTTTTTAATAGTCTTTAAAAGGAAATTTATTTGACTGGGAGCTGGGGCGCATGCCTTTAATCCAAGCACTCGGGAGGCAGAGAGGATCTCTGTGAGTTCAAGGCCCATCCAGTCTATACAACGAGTTCTGGGTTAGCCAGAAGTAAATAATGAGAACCTCTCTTTCTCTAAAATAAGTTTTTTTAAAAAAAAATATTTATATATTATGTATACAATATTCTGTCTGCGTGTATGCCTGAAGGCCAGAAGAGGGCATCAGACCTCATTACAGATGGTTGTGAACCACCATGTGGTTGCTGGGAATTGAACTCAGGACCTTCGGAAGAGCAGGCAATACTCTGAACCGCTGAGCCATCTCTCCAGCCCCTAAAATAAGTTTTTAAAAAGATTTATTTTCATGTCTTGTGTGGTTTTCCTGAATGTTTGTTTGTGTACTACATGTTTGCTTGGTGCCCACTAAGAACAAAAGCAGGCGTTGGGCCTTCTGGAAACGCAGTGTGAATGCTTAGATTCTAACCTGGGTTCCTGGGAAGGCAGCCTGTGCTCTGAACTGCTGAGACATCTCTCCAGCCTCTTATCTGAGGTTTGTAAAACAGTGGGTTGGGGACCGAGGAGATGGCTCAGCATTTCTGCAGACATACATGCAGGCAAAACACTCATGTGCCTCATTTTTAAATTTTCACTTATTTATTTGTTTGTTTGTTTGTTTAGGTTTTTCGAGACAGGGTTTCTCCGTGTAACAGCCCTAGCTGTTCTGGAACTAGCTCTTGTAGATCAGGCTGACCTCGAACTCACAGAGATTCTCCTGCCTCTGCCTCCCAAGTGCTGGATTTAAAGACATGTGCCACCACCAACCGGCCCATAAAGTATTTTTTTTTATTTAAAAATAAATCAATTTAAAGGAAATAGGACAAGCTGGCCAGACCCAGGTGGGAGTTTCCTTAGCAGATGAAATTAGAAGAACGGGTAGAGCAATCAGCTCAGCTTCATCTACTCGAGGCCAACTCTCATCTCTCCTGCTCTGCCCACTTCCTAGTTTACTTTCCAGGGATCATTGTCTCCATGTTTCAGATAAGGGAAACTGAGGCATATTAAGGCAAGAAACTCTGTGGCACGCGCTTGTAATGCCTAGCATTTGGGAGGTGGAGGAACAGAAGTTAAAGGTCATCCTCAGCTACACAGTGAGTTCGAGTTCAGACTGGGCTACTTGAGACCTTGTCTCAATCCCACCCAACCCTCCAAAAAGAGAGCCCCGGGAGAAATCGCTATTGAGGGGCTAAAATTCCAACCAAGGAAGGGCCTTGACCCGAGTCCTGCTTGCCTCAAAGCAGTCCTTGATGCCGGGACGCCCTGTCATGTTCTGTGAAAGACTTAGGGTGCAAGTCTCGAGGGATGTCGTTGGCTGTCTTGCACCCAGGACCTGCCTAGACCTAAGACTAAAACCAACACAGAGAAGCGTAGCGATGACTTTGGCAAGGGACCCGTTGTCATAGGAACAAATGAAGGCCTGAGGCGCGCGCATGCGCACAGCCAGAAAAGGGGGGGTGCTGAACCGGTGAAAGGTGACGTAAAGCGCCCGGGGTGGGGCGGAGGGCTCACACTGTAGGAGCTGCAGCCTTTCGTGCCCTCAGCAGAGAGAAGGCGCGAGACGGTGAGAACGGAGAGTGTCCGGCGCCCGGCCACACACCACCGGAGCGAACGGCGAGGACCACAGTGGCCCCGCTGCCGAGGCCCCGCCTCTCGAACCTCAGGACTAATCGGATTGAAAGCGCGCCGGCCCGGGCCCCGAACTCGCCAATTGAGGAGGGCGGCAGTCACCGCCCAATCCGGGGCAGACAGGTGCGAGGTCCGGAAGCTGGAGGCCAATCAGCAGCGGTTGCGGCCTGCGGGGGCTGGGCTCAGCCAATGAAGCGTCTCAAATGACAGCTGAGTGCGCCAATCGAGAGTGAGGAGCGGTCGTGCCCGCCCGCCCTTCCGGCCGGAGCTCTATTTACCAGGGGCGTGCAGCCTGCTTGCCAATCAGAGAGCGGCTGAGCGGCCGGACAGCCAACCCCGGAGGAGCGGCCGGCTGGCGGCCGCGGTACCCAGGAGTTGGGATGTCCTACAAACCTATCGCGCCCGCCCCCAGCAGTACCCCCGGCTCCAGTACCCCCGGGCCAGGCACTCCGGTCCCTACAGGTGAGGCTCCAACTCCACCCTTGCTCCCCTTGCCCGGGCGGTCTGGGTCCTGAAGAGAAACGGCTCGAGTTTTGCAATACGCGGCCTGCTAGGCGAGCCTTACTCAGCCTCAGTTTGCTGGCCTGAGAAGTGGGCGTGGTCACGGAGAGCTTGTAGGTGGAGCGCAGCGGGGAGGAGTGTGTCTCTGAAGTTGTTCAGCTTGGAATGAAGAAAGAAGCCTGCCTCTGGAGATAGTCAGGCGAACGGTCCAGGGCTTGGAAAGCTGTGACGAGGCCCTTGCCACACTTTGACCTCTTACTCTGCTTTTGCAGCCGGAAGTGTCCCATCGCCGTCGGGCTCAGTGCCTGGAGCCGCAGCACCCTTCAGGCCACTGTTTAACGACTTTGGGCCGCCCTCCATGGGGTATGTACAGGTGAGTGTGGCCAAGAACTTACTTATGGTGGAGGACAGGAGATCCCCTCGGGGTCTGAGGTCACTTCTCTATTTTCTTTGGACACAGGCGATGAAGCCGCCGGGTTCCCAGGGCTCTCAGAGCACCTACACGGACCTGCTGTCTGTCATAGAGGAGATGGGCAAAGAGATCCGGCCCACCTATGCTGGTAGCAAGAGCGCCATGGAGCGCCTGAAGAGAGGTGAGGGAAGCCACAGTCCCGCCCGTGCTCTGCCCAGGACACAAACACTGAACGCTACGACGTTTCGTTAAGGAGAGAGTTTATCTAGAGTCAGTGCGGACACCTGGGCTAGCCTAGATTAAACCAGAACCTCTAGAAACAGACAGGTGTTTCAAAATGAACTTGAGTCCGTTTCCCAGAAGGTGCCTGGGAGCTCAGGATGAATGTGAGGGTTAGCTAGACCCTTAATCTCATCCATCTTAGATTAGAGCTGCTCTTGCTGAACCAGGAAGGGGGTGGGGGAGCGTCTGCTCAAAAGCGTGGGAGTGGTGGCTGTGGAAGGCTGCTGATACCCTGTCTGTGACTTCCCTGTCCCCACCCCACCTCAGGCATCATCCATGCCCGGGCGCTGGTCAGAGAGTGCTTGGCAGAGACAGAACGCAACGCCCGCACGTAACAGGAAGCACCTTGGCCTTTCCGTCGGGACCTTTCCGGCCACCGCAGAGCACCTGCTTCTCCTTGGCCTTCACCCCAAGTTGCTTCCTATCCTGGGCTTCCTGTCCTGTGTCCCTCGGTGGGCGTCCTCCAGGAGCCAGGTAGCAGGTCTTCCTCCAGTTGGCTGTACAAGCGGGACTCCTCTGCACGAGTGGGCAGAGAGGCCACCGTGAGTCCCACCCCTGACCTGCTCACAGTGCTGATCCAGCTGGAGCTTGCTTCTCTCCGTGGCCCCACCACAACGCACTTACTTCTTAAGTCTTAGTCCAGGCCTCCTTCCCCTCCAGCAGGAGTGCAGGTCTCCCTGCCTCGTCTCTGGGGCCACAGCCGACTTTTTTTTGGTGTGTCTTTTACTAAATATGCCCTTTTTATATAAATAAAAGATGATTTGGAGTCATTCAGTTCTGAGCCTTTCCTCTGGGGAAGCCTGAGCAGACCAGGCAGGAGGGGGGAGGGCAGAGCCGGAATGGGGAGGCTGCTTGAACCTCGTTTTCCTTTCTACCCAGTCCATTGCCACCTTCTCCGGCTCTCGCCTTCCAGCTGGGGGAGTAGCTGAAAGGCCAGAACCCCAGCAGAGGGGAAGCCTGCATCGTGCCGTGCCACCAGGGGGCAGCGCAGGACCTTGGCTGCCTTCACAGCTGGAAGCACCGTGGGGCAGCCACAGCCTGGAGGGCTCTTCCTCTGGATTGGCAGGCGTGCCTGGCCGGGTGAAAATACCAGTTCACTTAAGCCTTTCTCTTGAATGCCCTGATGCCCCTACACTACCCTCCATTCTAAATTGTCCTTGGAAGGCATGAACTACACCAGGCCTCTTACGTCCTCGGGGAGGCAGTTAGATGTTCCCTTCCCCCAGCACCTTGGCTTGATGCTGCTGTCCACTGTCCCGACAACTTCCACCAGGTTGGGTGTGGCTCCATGAGCTAGACTCGGTGTCTTGGCCTTTGTGCAGAGTCGGGCAGCTCAGATGGGTGGCCAAATTTGAGAACCTAGCAGCCATAAGTAGTGGAGGACTTGGTTTCCATTAAGGGGATGGCCAAGCGAATTGTAGTGACAGAGGCCTCTACCTGGGTATGTAGCTGAGTGACCCTGAAATCCCAACCCTAGGCAGAAGCAAGTGAGAGCGACAAGTTTTTTGCTAACTTTGGGGTGCAGCGTTTCCTCTACCCTGGGACCCGTTCATGTCAAATTCCACCTCTTCAACACACACAGGAGGGCTGCCCAGCCAGGGTGGGAAATGAAACCGAGAATCCTTTGGGTGTCCAGACAGCACAGAAGTAAAGGACTGTGACATTTGAGTACTGGCTTCTTCCTCATCTACCTCTCGGGGAAGGAAGACAGGGGCCTGCTCTGCC